CTCCTGCACGCCCTCCTGCCTTTGACGTCTCTCTTGACCGCCCTCCTGCCTGTGACGTCTCTCCTGCACGCCCTCCTGCCTGTGACGTCTCTCCTGCACGCCCTCCTGCCTGTGACGTCTCTCCGGTCTGCCCAGAATGAGTAGTAGAACCTGTGCTTACATTGATCATCTTGCCGTCAGAAGCAGCACCATTACCTGCTTCCCATTACCCACCTGCCCTACACATTTGGACACAAATCCAAAAATTTGGACATAAATTAGGATTTTGATGTTCATTTGATTTCCTCTGCTGCCCCTTTGATTCTGGTTCCTCACAAGGTTTCTTCCTTCCAGGGAGTTTTTCCTTGCCACTGTCACCTCTGGCTTGCTCACTTGGGGCTTTGGGCAGGAACAATGTAAAGCGCTTTGAGACAATGTAATGTTGTGGAAATGGCCTGGGGAGGCATTGAGGAGCTTGCTGAGGACTGGGAGGTCTGGGCATCCCCACAACCTGGCCCTGGATAAGTGATGGGCAATCAATGGAGTATATATAATTTAATATTATTATATTACATATAAGAAATAATGACAATAATAATAATAGTCCTATACTTAGGGTTTACTACAAGTTTTCTGGCTTACTTCTGTGTTTTGGGTACCCGAAACTTTAAACAGGATATCCTGCCATGGCCCCAAGCAAGTTTAAGTGCAGGTTTTTGTATTAAAACAGGCATAAGTCTTGCCCGTTCCCCAAAAATGCACCGTATATAAAAGCCACTTTGACTAAATAGTAGGGATGAGCAATACCACGGACTTTCTTTTTGATCCAATTCCAATTAATACCAAGGTTTTTATCCTGATACTGATATTCGACTCCAGTCCCTTGGGGGGGGGGAGGGTACAAGGGGTGGTGCTGATGACCAAGTTTTCTGAGTGGGGTGTATTACTGACCTGCTTATGAAAAAGGTGGCTTTTAGTTTGCAATGCCGACACTATGCACTCAAACTCTGATTCAGAAACCTCAAGTTAACTTGCCAAGTTGACAACCGCTGTTCTAGTACCGTTTAAAGCTGACTGCAGCAACCCGCCTCCAAATCATTGAATTCAGGTGTTCCAGTCACTTCCATAGCCAAAGGAGTATAAAATCAAGCACCTAGGCGTGCAGACGGCTTCTACAAACATTTGTGAAAGAATGGGCCACTTTCAGGAGGAGCAGGAGTGAATTCAAGCGTGGTACCGTGATTGGATTTACTGCACAGGTGGCATCCTTTCCTGAAATGTCTTCGCTAATAAGTATTCCATGGTTAACTCTTAATGGTATTATAACAGAGTGGAAGCAACTGGGAACAACAGCAACTCAGCCACGAAGTGACAGGCCACGTAAAATCACAGAGCGTGGACAACGCATGCTGAGGTGCACAGTGTGCAGAAGTCGCCAACTGTCTGCAGAGTCAATAGCTACAGACCTCCTAACTTCGTGTGGCCTTCAGATTAGCTCAAGAACAGTGCATAGAGACCTTCATGGAATGGGTTTCCATGGCCGAGCAGCTGCATCCAGGCCTTAAATCACCAAGTACAATATAAAGCGTTGAATGCAGTGGTGTAAAGCACACTGACACTGGACTCTAGAGCAGTGGAAATGTGTTCTCAGGAGTGAGGAATCACGCTTCTGTCAAACAATCTGATGGACGAGTCTGGGTTTGGCGGTTGCCAGGAAAATGGTACATGCCTGACTGCATTGTGCCAAGTGTAAATTATGGTGTGGGGTTGTTTTTCAGGGGTTGGACTTGGCCACTTAGTTCTAGTGAAAGGAACTCTTAATGCTGCAGCATTCAAAGCCATTTTGGACAATTCCATGCTCCCAACTTTGTGGCAACAGTTTGGGGATGGCCCATTCCTGTTCCAACATGGCTGTGCACCAGAGCACGAAGCAAGGTCCATAAGGACATGGATGAGCGAGTCTGGTGTGGAGGAACTTGACTGGCCTGCACAGAGCCCTGACCTCAACCTGAAAGAACACCTTTGGGATGAATTAGAGCGGAGACTGTGAGCCAGGCCTTCTCATACAACATCAGTGCCTGATCTCACAAATATTCCCCTGGAGGAATGGTGAAAAATTCCCATACACACACTCCTAAAGTTTGTGGACAGTCTTCCCAGAAGAGTTGAAGCAGTTATAGCTGCAAATGGTGGACCAACTCCATATTAAAGCCTATGTATTAAGAATAGGATATCATTAAAGTTTGATGTTTTAATGAAGAAATTTGGATTAAATACCTTTGCTGAAAGGAGCACCAAGCCCCTTCTGAAGGCTAGGAAACCAGTCATCGGCTTACAAAACTTTGCTTTACCAACCATGCCTACTGCAGGCATATTCCTTCCATTTGTACGTGTGCGAGACATAAGGGTATGTAAGGGTACCTGAGCACATTCATTTTCCCTCTGCTTCAGGAGCATTTCATTTTTGTCTTGTTGAAAACTTGTCTTCTGAAGAGAATCCAGTTTCTCCTGCAGCTCCTTATACCTTTGGTGCAATTAATAAGACCAGACATGAAGACACTACAGAACAAATCAGCAGAAATGCAGAGTAAACTACCTGCACATCCCAAGATCACACATCATTGAGTGTGGCGCACAGAACTCTCACCACATATAATTCAGACTCATTCTGTTATTCATGTTCCTGCTACATTTGAGTAAATAGCCATAGAACATTTTGCACCATAAAAACAATGCTCAAGTAAGGCTCTGCTATATCTCCGACAAGTACACTGAAACAAATCCCACATGCATTCCATAACATAAGCATTAATGCAGGTAGTCTGGTTTCCGTACCTATTCTGTGTTGCCTGAAGCTGTTTGGAGAGTTGAACCAGCTGGGTACTGCAGAGGAGAGCCAGAGAAAGAACATGTGGACAAGACAATGCAGAAATATTACAGATCCAGCATGACCAGATACACTCAGGCCCACCTTGGAGTCACAGGCGCTGTGGGTCCAGGCAGGCTGTGAGAGCTGGTCACCTGTGCATCACAGCAGACCAGGACCTCCTGTGTAACTCCACAGCCCTGTGAGGAACGAAGACAGGGGCTGCAGCTGTGAGGATGTTCAGGGGGGCGGCTGCATGCAAGGGTGAGTCGGGACTACAGCTGTGCAACGTTCATACCTAAGACATGCATCCAAAAAACCCACCTTCACCTGACCAAGCCTTGACTGTAACTGAGCATTGGTAGCACGCAGATTCTTCATTTCATTTTGCCCCTCCTCCATCTCCTTCAGCAGTGTCTCGTTCCGGCACTTCAGCTCTCGCATACGCTCCTCCAGTTTCTCCTTGTGATTCCTCAGCAACTTCAGGACCTCGTTTCCCCCTTCCATGGGCTGAGGCATAGAAATGAAAAGAATAAGTAGGCATAATGGCGACAAAGTGGCTGTGTGAGAAAACTATTACAAACACAAAAACACACAAGCAAGCTGCATACCAATACTAATCACACAAAGGGGACATTTGTGCTATATAATAAGGGGTGGCTCTTAAAGGCAGGAAAGAAGGCAAGAATCACACAACAAAATGCTGGCGACAAATACAAAACACTGTGCTAACTACAGAATTAAAGGATGAGATTAGTGCAAAACTGGCACACACAGATTGACACAAAGGATATGAATGTTTAGATTTCCTGACACAGCCCATCATAATAAGGCAGGGGCATCGACATACCAAGTAACACCAAGCTCTTACCAAGCTCTGAGGACCTGTCTGCTTCTCCCCTATCCTTTCCTCTTCTCCCTCTGCTTCCTCTGATGGCTGAAACACACATGGATATTCAATGAGAAACTAACACAAACAATAACACAGTCATGTGTGAGATTTTGCCGTGCATCACTGACCTCATGACAGTTCCGGAGCTGCTTCCCCGCTTGAGGAACACTCTGCTCCTCGCTTTTCCTTTGGCTCATGAGCCTGAGCTGATCCTGGAGCGCCTGGTTTTCCCGGACCAGCCGCTCCACTAAGTTCTTCGCCTCCTGGAACCGATGGCCCAGGACATTCTTCTCTGCCCTCAGCCTCTGTTGCCATTCCTTAATTTCCTCACATCTCTCCCTCAGAGCTATGTTACTATTCCTCAATGCGTCTGGAAAGAAAGAAAGAAAGAAAGCATTAGCAGTACACTCCAGGGTGTGTCTGACTGTAGATCAATACAGCTTCACATTTCTATGTATAATGTACCACTGAGTAAGGTGTGGTCAAAGCAGAAATTCAAATGCATTCAATTACACAACTGATCACCTCTCAGCTTCTGATTGTCTCCCATTAGTCTCTGTACAACCTCACTGTCAGCTAGCTCAGGGACTCCTGCAGAGCCCTGGGAGGCCGTCTCAAGCGACTCCTGGCTGCTGGATCCCAGCACCTCTCTTCCAGCCATGTCCCACTGCAACACACTGCCCAAGGGACCCTGGGGCTGAACCATCACCTGGGTGAGACAGAGCGATTGCGGGCCAAAGTCATTCGCAGACATTTAGCTAACTCCCGATTTCCTTTCACATACGTAACCCCCAGATCAACCATCTTTATTACGACATATTTACCTGCCACCCGAAGCTAAAAATTACTGGTATTCACAGTAGTCTAATGAGCAGGTAGTATTTTCCTCTCCAACAATAAATACATACTCATGTCTTCAGTCAAATGAACTTAGTGTCAGGCATGCATTTTTGTCCATAATTCCAGCACCTGATAGTAACATAGAAAAATAACAATATTAGGTACAGCATAAAAAGAAAACCTATTTTACTGAACATTTTACTGTAAAGATATTTAACGACTGTTATAAAATTATATGTTTCTGTATAAATCCTGTTATATTATCATTTTTAATATTTGAATGGTACGCTAAAGATCGTTTAGTTTTTACCAAAAAGGTTACACGCATGTCATCACATGCTCCATCTGTACCGTTTTCCGACACCGTTTCGTTAAATGATTTTTAATTTCGCCTCTATTCATTTGCCCGTTTTATATTAAGTTTAGCGGAACCACTCCTGTACATATTTCTTACATTAACCGTTTCTATGAAATTTCATCACATTTACACATTCAGCTAAATTATTTCATGCTACCAATAGAAGAAATTTTAACAATCGGCCATTTTAAACAAAGCGACACTCACTGGGATTTTGACTAATGAATAAAGATTTTTTATTTACTACATTGTTACAAGTGAGTAAAAACACACGCGGTTTATGGCATAAGTGTTACAGTCATCATAGCTAGTCCCCGAATAGCTAACACGCTACCTTTATTCCAGCTTGCTGGGCAGCTGAACAGCTTACGTGAGCTGTGTTGCAGGATCCCCTCTTAGTTTAATCCAGTCTTCTTTACTAGCATTGTCGTTATATTACATCCAAATTAACAAAGCCAAATAATTGGGTGACATACTGCAACAAGAGGCAGAGAAATCAGAGACCAACTGCTATGGCAACTGCCCGCTCTTCTTCCGCATTGGGTTGTACTATGTCTACCTAGAATTTAAAGTACAAGTTCACTTAATGAAGACGACAAACATTAAGAACTGAAAAGCAATTAACTGAAATCATGCTACATAGCAGCACTTATCTGGTGTGCAGTAAAGCAAATGACCTACGTTTTTGACTAAAGCTATATATTGATATTGGATTTTTTTGTCGGTACGTTCCAACGTACAACCATGTGAGACGAGACGGAGCTGTATCCACTCAGGCAACCCTCGCTGTAAATCATCCGATGTGGATTTTGGGAACGAAAATACAGAAATATAACCGGAATTGATATACAAAAAGGTAAGAATTCCGACGAGATTGTACAGCTCTGGGGGGGAATATACGGACACAAAGAGAAAATGTCAGGTAGTATTCTGCTGGGGCTCCATGTGTACTCACAGCAGAATGGACACAAGTAATTATGGAACTAAGGAATCGCTAAGTGTTATGAAAAATCTGGCCAAACGTCTGTAACAGAATCCTTATCCTGACCATGCGAACGCGACAGTGGCAGAAATGTCCAGTACCCCCAAAACAAAACAAAAAAAACATTTGAGATCTGCTAATGAGCTTCAACCTGTTGCTAAAATACGCATCCTGTTGATCGGGGAAGTGACGTCTGGAGAAACACCCCCCCCGACCCGGGTTATGATTGGGAGTGGACAAAAGAGAATGGTGCAGGAATGAGACAGGACTAGCCTTGATTATTCCCCACTTAGATTTCTGTTTGCTTTTCACACATCTCTTTCATGTATTAAACTCCATCAGTTTTCCATCCAACAGTACGTAATAAATTTCGTTAGAAGCCTACTTACTCAACCGATAATGTAGTACGTACAGTATGTATGCATGAATGGAAACACTATCCATGCACTAGCGTGTATGCAATATCCAACCCAGTTCCAGTTAACCGCACCCCTTTGTGATTCCATCCAATAATATCTGTTAGCAGAGCCGCAGTTTTACACCAGCAGTTTCATTCCAGGGGCGATGACTGAAGAAAACAAAACCCAAATGGTGGAAACTGATTGAGTGATCATGGATTGTCTGGGTTCTTTTTTAATATGTAGCTTAGCTACATTAACAAAGTAGCTTTGTTCATTTGACCTCAGTTTATAGTGACACGCCTGAAGTCACACTCTCAACTTTTAAAATGTCAAAAAATGTCTATAGCGAAATATAGTAACGACACTGAAGAAAACAGTTGACTAAATGATGCTTGATGTTTTAATCTGTAATGTTATCCATAGTATTAACAGAAGCGAACACGTCAGCACTACTGTTTCACATATTAATATAACTGCGAACAAAACATACATTCATAAATGAAAGTGTAAATTATAAGGCTATTATATGGTCAACGTACTGTTAATCGTGAAACAAACATTAAACAGTGACTTAATTAAAGACATGGAACATGGACAAGTAACCCCAGAGAATTTGTTACCGGCTGTCAAGTTCGCAAATGTTAGCCAATGAAAACGATTGCAAGATAGCAGCTCCGCCTCGCCTCACAAGGGTTGTATATTAGATTTTATCGACAAAAAGGCAAAATCAATACATAGTTTTAGTTAAAAAGAAGGTAAATTGCTTTGCTGAACATTAGATAAGTGCTTCTATGTAGCATGATTTAACTGCTCTTCAGTTATGTTTGTCGTCTTCATTAATTGAACTTGTACTTTAAATTCTAGGTAGACGTAGTACTACCCAATGCGGAAGAAGAGCAGGCAGTTGCCATAGCAGTTGGTTTCTGATTTCTCTACCTCTTGTTGCAGTATGTCACCCAATAATTTGGCTTTGTTAATTTGGATGTAATATAACGACAATGCTAGTAAATAAAACTGGATTAAATAGAGAGGGGATCCTATAACACAGCTCACGTAAACTGTTCAGCTGCCCTGTAAGCTGGAATAAAGGTAGCGAGTTAGCTGTAGAAATGGCGGACATGCCATGCTCCGAGATATACTGCGGTCACCGGCTTGCTTATTCCTTGACCCGAATGTTAACCAATGACAAATCTTGACCCCGCGAAAGTTAAAAACTATCGCCGTACAAAATACGTATTCAAGTCCACTTATGTTACTGGGTGTTGTTTCCTTAAATTTGTACATAGACGGCACCCGTTCAATATTTGTATCAATATACATTAATAACAAACATTATATAAACATTATAATTGTAGGATGCTTGTTATTAATATATAATAAAGTTATATTACATCCAAATCAACAAAGCCAAATGATTGTGTGACATACTCCAGAGGCAGAGAAATGACAGGATGTTAAGGTATATACTTACACCTTCCTTATGAATGCTCTATGAATGCATTTTGACGGTGCACTTAATGCAAAGTGTTACCTAGTCTTTTTTTTAATGTGGCCTCAAAGCACAATGTAACACAAACACATCCCATGATCAGGATAAAGCTCACCTTAGGGAAAAGGGACTTCTCTAACCTTTGGAAGTACAGCTTCAGCACCCTGACTGCACTTAGAGGTTCCTGTGAAACTGGTTCTGTGACCATATTGCATTTTTACCATACTGATCTGCAGTCTGGGCTAGATCTTCTAACATAATAAGCTGAGTAGGAAATATACAATGACAGGACAACCATACCTCTCAAAGACATCAGTGATTAGGTTGACTGCTCTGAGACCCTTGGACCCAGGATATATCGTCATGATACAGAAAATGGCATACACACAGAATTTACGCTCCAGCTGAAAAGTAAAAGTTCTGAGTAAGGGTTTGAAGTTGCACTATAAATCCAGCTCAGTATGATTTGCAAGAATTACAGTGCTGCTGGAGCCCCACTCATCATGGAGATCGTTGAAGCTTTCCACCACTGGAGCTGTTACCATAAAAAACAACAGACTGTCAGATATGAGAAGATCCTCACACTGAGGCATATATAAAACAGACCGTCAGATATGAGAAGATCCTCACACTGAGACATATATAAAACAGACCGTCAGATATGAGAAGATCCTCACACTGAGACATATATAAAACAGACCGTCAGATATGAGAAGATACTCACACTGAGACATACATAAAACAGACTGTCAGATATGACAAGATCCTCACACTGAGACATATATAAAACAGGAAGTCAGCAGTGCAGCATGTGCCTGCTCATGTGCTCATGCTCAACACTTAAAATATTAATATTCCCTCACTTGACTACTGTAAATCACAGAGACATGGGGTCCCATTATGTTGTATCATTACTTTTCAGCCCTGTAATCAGCACTGTCTGTCACCTTGCAATGACCATGTTAAACATTCCTGGTCCTGGTTCCCACCCACAGTGGAATAAATCAGGCTTTTCCACCCTGCACTCTTTTCTGGTTTTACCTCATTCTTGGCCTGCATCCGAGCAGAAAAAAAACACATGATCAGCACTGTCATCCACCTTTTCCTACATCAAACTGATTATACTCAATACTGGATGCATCCATCCATTTTCTGAAACTGCTCAATCCCAACTGGGGTTCTGCGGGGGACTGGAGCCTATCCCAGGAACAGTGGGCACAGGCAGGAACCAACCCTGAGCAGTCGCCAACACACCACAGGGCACACACACAACTACAGGACCAATTTAGACTCACCAATCGACCCCATCCTGCACACTTTTGGACTGTGGGAGGAAACTGGAGCCCCCGGCAAAAACAGGGAGTGTGCGAACTCCACAGAGAAAGGACCTGGGACCACACCCAGGACCTTCTTGCTGTAAGGTAGCAGAGCTAAGCACTGCACCACCACACCACCCCTGGTTACCTCACATCTGTCATATTTAGTGCTGCACAAATGGCTTCAGAGAAAGAACTTTATTTACAGTTATTGGTTTGTTACTGCACTGGCTTATTTTAATCCCTGACCCAGTGGACACGATATTGATTGAACATACACTACCGGTCAAAAGTTCTTGAACACCCCAATTTTTCCATTTTTTTATTGTAAATTATGCAGTTTACGGTCCCATTGCACTCTGAAATGAAAGCATAGTACAAATAAGCAATTGGAGTTAAAAAAAAAAAAGAAATCATGGAATCAATTTATAGTCCAAAATGTATTCTAAAGTTTTGACTCATCAAAGTAGCCACCTTTGGCAGATATAACAGCTGAACACACTCCTGGCATTCTTCCTACAATAGAAATCAAATATGCTTCAGAAAGTTCTTCCAGAAGTTCCCATAAATGTGTGGCACTTGTTGGTTGGTTTGCTTTCACTCTTCTGTCCAGGTCATCCCAAACCAGCTCGATGGGGTTTAAGTCTGGAGATTGATGCCACACACTGTGGAACCACCCTTTCGCCTACTTGACAGTGTACAAAGATCCTGCGTGATGAACCGAAGATTTCAAATTTGGATTCATCAGTCCATAATACCTTCTTCCAGTCTTCAGTAGTCCAATGGCGGTGTTTCATGGCCCAGGCAAGCCTCTTTGTCTTATTCTGACATCTTAACAATGGCTTTCTTGCTGCAACTCGTCCTGTCAAACCTGCAGCTCGAAGTCTTCTCTTCACAGTTGAGACTGAGACTTGCTTACTATGACCACTATTAAGCTGTGCTTGAAGCTGTGGTCCTGTGAGCCACCTATCACACAAGTGGTTAATTCTCAGAAACTTGTCCTCGGATGCAGTTGTGGCTTTGGGTCTGCCAGACCTCTTCCTGTCGAGTTTGCCCAGGTTTCTGAGTGCCTTTTGATGGTGAAGGAAAGTGTACTCACTGACACCTTGGCTTTCTATTATTTATTTATCTATTATGATGATGATGATGATGATGATGAAACCCTTTATTGCTGTTGCAATACACCATGTCACTAGTCACAAGTACCAGCGAAAAACTGGCCATCAACCTGACCATACATATACAAACATCACATTATAGGGGGTAGACAGGTCAGGAAGACGGGGGATATAGGAAGAACAGAGAAAACAGAATTACATGAGGAGAGAGGAGGAGAATAAAAAAACAGCCCCCAGACTTTACTCCAGCCTGGGAGTACAATGTAGGAACAGAAAAAATTATTTCTGGCTATTAACAGGCCAGGCGCTCCCAGGTCAGCCCAGAGATACATATCCAGCGTGGCCTGGGAATGCCTCAGGGTTTCCTCTCGGTTGGATATGCCCAAAACATCTCCCCAGGAGGCATGCTAGACAAGCTCTCCTCTGAGCCCCTCCTGAATATCCGAGCTCGTCACTCTATCTCTAAGGCGGAGCCCAGACACTCTGCGAAGGAATCTCGTTTCTGCCACTTGTATCCGCAATCTTATTCTTTCGGTCACTACCCAAAACTTGTGACCCCAGGCGATAGGAAAGATGATCAAGCGGTAAATCGATATCTCTCCCCTAAGCACAACAGAACCGCAGCGCGTCTGCATAACCGCTAATGCTGCAGTGATCCACGTTAATCACGTGGGCAGTGGTGGCTTGATGGTTAGGGTAGTGCACTTGTAATTGAAAGATTGCAGGTTTGAATCCCCCACCAGCAAGTCACCACTGAGGTACCCTGAGCAAGGTACCGTCCCCAAGCACTGCTCCCCGGGCGCTGAATTAGCTGCCCCCTGCAATGTCACGAAAGTCACATATGGGTCAAATGCAGAGGTCACATTTCATTGTTGCGCACTGTGTGCTGTGGTGTGTTGACAATGACCACTGATCACTAAAAAAAAAATGAATCTCTTGCTCCCTCCTTCCCTCTCTTGTGAACAATCCCATCATAAAATACTTTAGACTGTCTATATGACCAATCTATACTCACTCTCTCTCTCTCTCTCTCTCTCACACACACACACACACACACACAAAACTTCATATTCATACAAACCTGGATGCACAAGCTCTAATGTTTAACAAATGCACAGAAGGAAGCATGGATCTTGGATAAGTCGCAAGTAAGTCCAGTTGAAAACAAAATTAACGTTTATAAGGAGGTGTATGATGGACAGAAATGTACATCTGCAGAAGGTGATATACAAACCGAGCTACAAAAGTGAGTCATCTTAGGCTGAAAACCTATCAGCAGGATTAACCAGCCATAAGTAGCAGAGAACCTGGATTGCTGAATAACTGCATAAAGTAATAGTCTGATGAATCAATTTTTTCCTACATCTGAATGGGTTTATATTTGGAGAAAGCCATGGATGCCATTTTGGGTTAAAGACGACTGTGGGGATACATAACTATTTGGGCAGCCATTTCATGGAAGTCATTCTGACTGATGACCGCACTTCATGATCAAAAGCATCGAATAAGGCCATTTTACTGAACCAGGTGCACTCTACTGTACAAATATTGCTACGTTACGATGCCACACATCCAGATAGCTAAACAAGAGTAGTTTCGTAAAAATCCAGATTAAGTTGATGTCCTTCAATGGCTACACCTGTCTCTAGGTTTATTATATTTAACCTTTATGACTTCTAAGGGCAAGCGTAAAGTAGATTTCCATCTCCTTCCTGACAAACTGAATACTTCTCCTCAGTGAATGGTTCAATGTTCCACTACACCAATGGTTCTCAATCCTGTTCCTGCTGCTGCCCCCGACAGAATGTTTTCATTCTGACCCACACTGCTTTCAACCTGCCACATTCATTATTAGCCGATTAAGGACCATGTGGGCCTAATTAAGGTAGGGTTGAAATGAAAAGGAGCCAGGAACAGTATTGAGAACCACTGCACTACACAGAGTTGGGAACTTACAGTACAGCATTCCAATAGAAACTGAAGCGGTTCTGAAGGTAATGGGTGGTGCTTCTCCTTAATATGTTAGGGGTTTCCTGTTATTTTGTTCACCCCTTATATGTCATGCCATTAGTCACCTGAAACAAATATTGACAAGCTTTCTTATATTAATTTATTTTTCAATTTCTGCTCATGTGTGATAACTTTTAATTATGAGGCAAACCATAACATCTAGACATTTTCCAAATTCTCTACCATTCTGTGTGATAACGAAAAATAATGAAGATGTCCTGGTTTATGTGAACAAAAGGAAGAAGTCTGTCATAAAAAGAGCCAAACGCTAGATAAATGGTTAAAATGTGACAAGAGGAGGACTGCCACTCAGTTGAGGGAAGGTTGCACCATTAGGAGTCAGAAGAGGAGTCTTTGATGTCTGTGCTCTCTGTGGCCTCGCTGACCTCACTCATATCCTTGCTCTCGCCCCCACTGTCCCGTTCTCCTTCTCGCTCCTGTTCCTCCAGGCTTGTGGACTGACCAGAGGCAGGGAGACTCTGGGAAGGAGGGTTTTCTGTACCCCACACTCGAACTCCTGGCCTCCGGAGCTGGCAGAGAAATGACATTGGCAGACAAAATAACTAAGGTGCACACACTGGGTGTGAAGCTCACAGATCACTGACAGGACCCAAAACGTCAGGCTGTGTTGACATTTACAGAAAACAATGTGTTAGGACAATCAGACTTTGACAGAAATCTGCTATCATTCAGACATCCAAAAATTTAATTACCCTGCCTTTATTGCTGACCATAACCAAGATACTCTGGCACTTACTTTACAACAGTATTTGTTGCATATTACCTATGAGTTCAGCTATCACCCACACTCCTCTAGGTACTCCCCAGTCCAAAGACACACTGTTGTGAAGGTGAACTGGTGTCTTTAAATTGCCCATAATGTGTGTCTGTGTGTGTCCTGTGATGGACTTGCAACTTGACCAGAGTATTTCCCTGCCTTGTGCCCTGTGCTGCCTGGAATAGGATGAAGTCCCCCAATAGTCTGGCACAGGGTAACTGTGTAACGGTATAGCAACTTCCTTGCCAGGTTACACACTGTTTCCTGCACAGTCATTCAGGAATCCTACTTTTTAATGCTGCAGGTTCCCTTTAGTAAAGTTAATTGCCGTTTGTGTGATTCTTGAACAAATCCGTAGTCAAATTCCTTGTGGGTATGATCTTACTTGGTCGGTAAAAACTGATTGTGATGCTGAAGAGAATATTAAATGATCAGAGCCGTCTGTTTCATTTTGTTCTCCTTACCAATATCTCCTGGAAAGCATGACATGAGTTCACAGATAAGAGGAAGTTTACCTCTCCTGCCATGTGAGCTAGATCCCTCTTCATCGCATAAGCATCCTCTCCATCAGCATAGTACTTGGGTTCCACTTCACTGATCCTGTGGAATTGAGACAGGGCTACGTATGAGGACAGTTACAGGACTGCTGGAACCTAACCTGTGGTGCCCCATTGCATTTCTTTTTCTCTCCAGCCTCACCGAATTCATGTAGTGTATAAATGTTATGGAAGTCTGACGGATGGACAGAAATATAAAATACTTTCATACTCACTGGAACTTTAGTGTATTGGAATATAGATGCAGCGCTGCTCGGTTACTGCCAAAGAAGAAAACGATATACAGAATTACTTACGCGTTCAACATGATGATCATTAGTATATTACATATCACATCCTGTTATCTACTGACTTTATGCACCACCTTTGGAATATAAATGACAGCAATGAGTTTAATATATAGTATGTGATGTGTTCAATCACTGCAGATATATTGAGAATATGTACAAAATCTGATATTTCACGATCAATCAAAAGCAACATTCATAATTAAGTATACTGTCTAAAGGTATGGTCAAGTTGAAATAAAGGTCATTCCATTTTTCCAATTCAAAATTCCAACCTTCACAGCTGGTTCGCTGCCAAGGCCAGTACCTTTTGCGGACGTGCAGAGAGACATATTTTGCATTGAAATTTTCAATCATGGCTCTGCTGGCCTGATCCATGAGCTTCTGGGCCAAACCTAGACGCCTGTGAGAGCGCTTCACGGCCTGTGAGAGGTAGTCACACAGCAGGGTTAGCCTAGCCATCACAAGCAACCAGCTGCCCACAGAGATCACGCTGAGCTGAGGGACCTGATATCAAACGAAAAGATAACAAAAATGGAGGCCCACCAGTGAAGTGATATGCCCATGTGGGACATCGTCTGGGTCCTCCTCCCTAGGGAAGACAGGACAGGTTCAAAGGACGCTAACAGGAGGAATGTGAGCATTTTAGAAGATTTAATGATTATGCACTTACATTTTTGCCAAGACATATCCCACAATTTTACCATTTTCATCCTCTGCTATGTAGGAAAGCTGAACATAAGAAAAAGTACATATTTTAATACATTTAAGTGTACACGATCAGACCATTATTCTGGGTGAAGAAAAAAATACAATAGGAATAAATTATGCAATGCAGACCTGCGGCCAGGACAGTCCATGATAGAAATAGTATTTCATCTGGTAATTCTCTGGAAGACACAGCAAATTACAATGCTGCATATTCATCAGATCTTCCGGCTGTGAGAGAAAGAGACAGTGTGAAGGGACAGTGGGCTGGACGTGGTTACATCGACTTATCGCTGCTTAAAAAACGACATTATTAGTACAAGAAACAGTCGGCTACTTAGTGTAACCAGTTATATTAACATATACAACGATGCTTTCAACAAATAAATTAATCATAAAAGAAAGAACCAAATGTGCGGAATGCTAACGGTGCTCAGCAACCTTCACATACTGAGCTGTTCGGTTATTTAGAGAATATCGCTAAGACTGAGTGGCCGTATCCATCCAGTTATATATGGGTGGTAATTCGTGGAGTCGTGCTGGTATGAAGTGGTATACATAATGTATTATAGAGTGTATACTAAGTATATTACTTCAGATGCATGCTCCTCTTTACCCAGCTATCTGGCTTTCAAGTCACTTTAAATGCGTTTCATAAACATAGCAACAGGAACTTACCCGGGCATTTCGAATATTCATTTTATCTTCGTGTAAAAGATCTAACTATTCTCAGCGTAGGTAAGTAATACAATCCTGTTTTGGTAAACTTAAATTACTACAGAAGTATAATTAGCAGCCGTACACTCGTGTGTTTCACCGGATATAGTAAAAACCGGATATCCCGCCTTTCCAGGATGTCTCACGACTCCAATAGGTTGTTTTCTTGTTGAGCAAATGTAAAATGATCCAATCAAAATCACTATTCGCTATTCCTTGTGATCTGATATTTCCGGAAAAATCTATAAGAACTTTTGAGGTTCTCTAGGATTGCTATTCTGTCAGCCCCAAAATACAGTTTATACGAGAGCAGCAGCTTTTGTTATCAGTTGTTAGCCCATCCTTTGGTCTGTGCAGATCCCAGTACAGTAAAAGGGACACTGTGCTGTAAAAATGGTGCCGTCCTTCAGATGAGACGTAAAACCAAGGTCCTGACTCCATGAGGTCATAAAAGATCCCTGAGCATCTTTTGAAAGAGTAGGGGTGGTACCCCGATGTCCTGGCTAAAATTTCAGATGGCATCATATGTTGGTAATTACTATAAATATTACAGTAAATATTAAAATTCATTACACTGTACTGATAAACATTTTCCTTTGGTTGTTCATTTCAATCAGATGAAATGCTATTTAGATTGGAGTAGATTAGATTAACTTTATTGATCCCAGAAAGAAATTCTTTTCTTGTTTAGCCTGATTCCTGGGCCTTCAGTTGTGTGTCTATTAACCAGTTAAACTGATTTTGGTGTGTGGTGTTATACCTCTGCTCAATCATTGTTTGGGGAATCAACACTAGAGTCAGCAGGTATTTGCTATGCAGGTCCTCCAACTTGAAGGGAAACAATTTTGGGGGGTTGGTGGTGGGATTGGCACTCCAGCCACCGTAAAACAACCCACAACTGCTCGATATAAAGTCACGATACCCTTCTGCTCTCCATGAGAGTAGCTCTGCTGCAGCCTCCCGCAGGAATCTATCATCTAGCACAGCATCTAGCCCTTGGCCGAAATGTGAAGTGGACTGAAGGCCAAGGCAGGTCTAACCTGAAGGGGCGCTTGTGAGTACTGCTGTATGGGAGAGCACAACACACTGGTCTTGGGGGTCCCTGGTGGGCTAGTGGTCAGGATTTTGGCGCTCGTTGGGTTTGAGTCCCGGCCAGGGAATTCCAAGGGTCAGCCTGGGTGTTTTTTTGGGTGTGTTTCCCTCCGCTTCCCATTGTGACCCTTTTGGCTAGCTTCTGACCTCTGGGACCTGGACGAGGCCCTCGCAGAATTCCCAGTGTAGTTGTGCCCCCAGCTTTCTTCTCACTCTTCTGTTTTTCACTCCTGGCCACTAAAATGAGCAACAGGGCATTTTCAGGTGCCCTTCATGGCAGCATGGACCATGTAGTCTAGGGGTTCGGACAGGCCATCCACTTACATGGGAGATCACTGTGCATTCATCACACAGATGAATGCTCCTATCCGGCCTCTCACGAGAATGCAGAGTGAGTCACGATCATCTTTCATTGACGGCACGACTCATCACGTTCACGTCTGGGAGGGTAATGGGCTTCAATGTGTCAAAAAGACACCACCCAGGATGGGGCTCAAACCCACAACTCTGAGATGAAGAGCCTTATGCTCTACCGACTGAGCTAGCTGGGCCCAGACAAGAAAAACTGACCTCTGGACCAGATCTGTTGTTTCTCTGAGACGTGCCTTCTGACTCCAAACCCCATAAAGCAGAGCTGCACACCTGCTCACTGTCTCCGTGGCGCAATTGGCCAGCGCACTCGGCTGTTAACTGAGAGGTCGGTGCTAAGGTCAAAGGTGTGTTATTGCGGAGACATAAGATGAGAGTTAGACATGTCAATTGGTGTTGCAGTGAGCCTACCAAAGGCTACACATACTATACTGAGAGCCTTGTATCCATGGGTGTAAATTACGGGGCGGATGGGGGGGGGTTGTAGCCCCGTAACTTACACAATAATACACAATAATCATGTTTCCCCTGTAATGGGTGGAGATCTCAACCCCCCCAAAGTTACGCCTTTGCTTGTAACCACAGTTTCAGTTATCCGCAGTTTACCTCGTTGAGAAAAAAAAAATCCAGAAATTTATGACTCATAAGTTTTTCAAGCAGACTGTAACATGGTGAAATCCACCACACAGTCGCACCCAGTACGACTCATCTCCCTCTGTTCCCATACCCATGTTTCCATGCTGCAGGACTCTCACGCAATCTGCCTCCAGTGTTCTCACTGATCGCATTTGTTGCCGCTTTATCGCAGTGTACGTATTTAAGAAATGTATGAAATGCATAATCTTCATTGCTTCATCATCTCTTGAGAATTAGGCTAAATGACAGAATCCCTTTCATTGGAGAATGTAGTACTGTACAATGCTGTATGACATACTTTACACTTACTGTGTTTATGGGTGGTAATGTGTTCCTGTGTGTAATTTATCAATTAAATCTTTACCACATACATGTACAGAAAAATTATCCCCCTCTATCTGCGGGTCTGTACTTTGTGAGTAATTTAGGACAGCAATGCAAATGAACAACACACCATTAGACAGGGAGGTAAATCATGCATGGACCAGACACAGAGCTGGGGTGGTAACACAACCTCAAGAAAACACAGCATTTCTCCCCCAGCAAAACTCACAGCCCGACACTGACAACAGAGAGTCATAATTTGAACACAAGACATACTTACTTTTTCAGGATTACTTAAATATATATTTAACACCCAAATTAATGTGCAGAGCAATTGAAATTCAAATGAAAGCATATTTAAAAACGTTGACATTGTCATACTGAAGATTGCTTCAGATGACCATATTATCCAAGATGTCAGCAAAGTGACATGACATGAAGGGACACAAATCCCCCCC